AAGTTCAGCACTAGTGTAGCTTTGGATGTAATTTCTTGAATGTGGTAGTTCCATCGTAACTTGTTGTCTAATGTGACTCCCAAGTAAGGATGCACATCAACATACTTCAGAACTGATCCACAGAAAACATATTCTTTGTGAGGTGGAGATTTTTGTAAGGATATAATGAAGCATTTATCTGGGTTAAACTCCATCTGCCACATAGAAGGATTCTAAGGAAAATATTAATATGTTCTCTTGATAGAAAATGTGAAAATATAAGTAAAAAAGAAAACAGGCAATTTCTTGTGTGATCTCAAAAATAATCTGTTAAAGTAATATTTCGACCACTCGAGGTATACTTTTTTATCATATAATTATCCATTAGATACCAATATTTCTCCTTTTCGAAAAACTGATATTTTCACATGTGCCCAACCGAATTTATTTGGGGGGGGGGGGGGGGAGTTTTACAGAGAGAAGTTGTCAATACCTAAATCCGATTGAATAGAACTTATGCAACTCATTCTTAGTGAAAACTCTTTTAAATTCAATGACAGACATTATCTACAGACTCATGGTATTGCAATGGGTACCAAAATGGCAGTAGCCTTTTCAATTATCTTTATGGCTCATAATGAAAAACAACTACTACAAACCACCCCTTTAAAACCTTTGATCTGGAAACGTTTTATCGATGTTATTTTCACATTATGGACTATTTCTGAAGCTCAAACCAACGATTTTGTTGATTCTGCAAACTCTTTCCATACAACAATTAAATTCACTAGCGAACTGTCATCAGAGGGAGTTACTTTTCTTGATACTCGAGTATATAAAGGTGCGCGTTTTAGTGACTCTAAAATACTTGATGTTCAAACACATTTTAAAACTACAGAGACATTCCAATACACTCATTTCTCCTCAGCGCACCCTTTCAATGTTAAAAAGGGTTTTATTAAAGGAGAAGCGTTACGTCTTCTTAGAACTAACTCTGATAGAGAAACCTTTGAAGCCCGTATAAAAGCTTTTCAATCACAGCTTTAAGAAAGAGGCTATCCAGAGAATATAGTCGATAACACTCTATCCACTCTTAAGTTCGAAGCTATACAGTCAGCATTGGAAAATAAAACCAGGACATTAAAAAGCATTTTGCCTTTTGTCACTACTTATAACCCAGTCACACCGAATTTAAAGAAAATTCTCATGAAACACTGGCGTCTACTTTCTCAAACTGAGAACCTAAAAAGGATTTATTCAGATCCTCCAACAGTGTCTTACAGGAAGGACAAATCACTAAAAGACCTTTTGGTCAGAGCCAAAATACCTTCCATTTAAATAAGCAACCAGTTTTTTTGTAAACGGCGAATGTAGAAGGTGAAGGCAGTGCCATTTTATCATAAATGTTCTAAAAAAACACTCCTGCTCGTTTATTAAACAGTACATATATCATGGCTATTTTCTTCTTTTTTTAAACGTATCCCACTGGGACAGCAATGACAAAGAGCTGGTGATCGTTCATCGATGCACAAAGATCGTTTGACAATTTTGGAACTAAAATTTACCTTGAATTGTATTTCTTGGCCTCCGCAGAGTTACGTTCGCTTGAAAGTGGATGTCTATAATGGAATCAATTTGTTTTGGATCAAGCTTTTCCATTAGTTGAAATATAGACATAGCCTAGCCTTCAATGTTACCATGGGCACCAATATATTATAGTACTATTAGCCGTGAGCAAAAACCTTTTCCTTAGAAAACACTTTGTAGCATTAATTGAAACGAGGATCAAATTAATAGAACACGGGCACGAATATATAATAGGACGTTTAGGCTCCAGTTTTAAATTCAGAGACAACTCATATACAGTTTATGCCGAATCAGGTCAATTTTATATACGATTGATACAAACTCTCCACGGTCATAATTTTTCTCGCGAGTTTTTGTTGAGTTTTTGGTCAAATTTTGGTAGAGTTATTGGTCCAGTTTTTTGGTCGAGTATTTTGCTCGAGTTTTTTTCGATTTTACCGTCGACCTTTTGTCGAATTTATGATCGATTTTTGGTTAGGTGTTTGGTCGTTTTTTCCCTTCAAATTTTGCATATGGTTTTGGTTTATATTTTCGAAAACTTAAGGAAAAATTATAAAAATTCGGTAAGAGGGAACTATAGCAAAAATAATTTTACGAATTCCTTCATACCTAATTTATTCTTTTCTCGTCAAATASAGGATTACGATACAGAGTTTAAATATTGATTTTTAATTATATATACATATATCATTGTAAGTACAACGAAAGCTTGCAAGCAGAAGAAAAAACAAAACCAAGGCCCCAAAGCGTTCCAGAGCAAACGAAACTTACTAATATAAATAATATATAATAATAAATAATAAATGGGATTTAGCAGTGGCATTTCTACAGAGTGGCTATTCATCCGCTGTAATTCCAATTGGAATTTAGGAGTTGATTTTTGCGGAGGAAGGAAAGCCGGGGAACCCGGAAAATCCTCGAAGCACAGGAGAGAACCAACAAACAACTCTACTCACATACAACATACACCCGTTTTTCCCATAAGATAGATTGGCTTGATAGAACGTGATGACAAGCGATATTACGAAGAATTTGAAGAGTGTAATTAACGCTAAAAGTTTCGGTTTATTGCTTGTCATAGAAAAGCGCTGTGGAAGATCTATTTATAGACGGAAATAATAACTTATTGAAAATGTGGAAAATCCTAAAAACCTAAGTTTCTTTAGAGCAATATTGGCCTACCCTGATATCCTTAAAAATTGAAAACTGTTTCCGCGGATCATTAGAGAACAAGAGAGAAGCCTATGAAACCACGAATTAAAGCAGAATTAATTCTAAGTGCTAGTCTCTAGGTGATTTTGAATATATATTGCCGCCACGTCGCTTGATTTTCAAAGGTCGGTTTTAGATTGTTTTGTATTCTCAAAATGGCGGACTACTTTACAATTTAAGAGAACTTATACGAAAGGTAGCGCCCTACTATTTTAACTATCTGAATATCTATAAAATGTAGTTGATGGATTGGAGTTGCCAGTGACCTTCAAAGTCTCATCTGAGAATTCAAGTCATCTGCCCGATAGGAGATATATGTGTATGAGAACATATATGAACTATATATTTGTACTGCGTTTGTAATGTATCAAGTTAAGCTGATCCCAGTATATCAAGCAACTTATGCAGCTGCAAATTGAAAAACTTGAAAATATTCTGGATATCTAATAGCAATTTACAAATTGATTTAACAGTGCATAGCATGGGGATATTTTAATCAGTTATAAACATTGATGTCTAGACAAGAGATGACCACCTCGAGCAACTTTATTTGGTTTTTCCCTTATTTTTTTCTTCTATATTTGTTTATTATCGTTTGTCAGTGGCGGATCAAGGATTTTTCAGAGGGGTTCCGTTTCTTAATCTGTGTATAATTCTCTTTTGTTTAGTCGATGTTTGACAAAGAAATTAGATAGATAGATAGATCATCAGTAAAATACAATAAATTTACTGTTATCAACAAGAGCCCTAACTAAAGAAAAATAAAACAAAAGAAATAGACTAAAATATTTAAGATATGAAATTATGCTAAAAACTAACACTAATAATAATATCAATAAACTATACAGTATATATACTAAGTTTATATACATACATACATATAAACATGCAGAGTAGGATGTACACAAGCAGACACATACATAGAAACACACTCTTGCATGCATATATGTAGGTATCATAATATTGTAATGTGTAGGTATATAAAATACGACCATTAAAAATCTAAATATCTATCAAATACATTATTTAACGATTTCATTAAAAACTATACAGCCATGATAGTAAAAGGCTTTTTTAGCACATGCCGTCCTAACTCTGGGCAAATGAAGCAAACCACTCTGCCTCGTAATACGTTGAACAATATCCCTATTATAAGTAAAATAATGCTTAAAAAACTGAGGTACGCGTCCAGCAAGGCATTTCCTAACTAACTTATAGACATGTTTATCTCGTCTAATTTGCAATGTGTCATAACTAAGTGATTTTAAGGCTTCATCACTGCTAAATTTCTTCATAATAACGCGC